CAAAGCTACACAGAGAAACCTTGTCTCGAAAAGCCTAAATAAATAAATAAATAAATAAAATAAAAAAATCTAAAGGTAGAATTAAAATACTGGACCACTAAAGAAAAAGGGAGGTAATCAGAGTCAAAGACTTTCAAGGTCCTTATATTATTTGTTGGGGAGAGAAGGTTACATGCTGGCTAACTTGAGCCTTCAAGTGCCTGTTAAGGGTTCCAGGATATCTCAAACAGATTTTGGATGGTGTGTGTGTGTGTGTGTGTGTGTGTGTGTGTGTGTGTGTGTGTGTGAAAGGAGAGATTCTGAATGGCCTATAGCAGCGAGCCAGCACAAGGACGATGGCATGGAACCATCCCTCCCACTGGGGTCTCTCTTCTAGACTAGGAAGAACTCCCTTTGGAGACTCCACACAGTCCCAGGGCCACAGGAACCCAGGTGGGCTCATCTCCAGGAATGTAATACAAGGTCAGGAAACCCAGGCAAGGACAATCTGGAGCCAGTATGGGGAGCGATTGAAAGCTCTGCTTGCCGGTTTCATCAGGGAGATTATGGGGGGTGGGTGGAGAAAATCAAGCAGCCTTCATAGACTTCTCCTCGGGGCTCTAACTAACTAGATGAACACGTCTGGGGTCTGCTGGTGTCAACATACCCTGATGGAGGACATGGTGACTCTCTCAGGTGCCTCAATGTTGTACCATACGCACAAGCTGTTGCGGTTCTGAGCTACCAGCACATCACTCCCGGGAACCCACTGCACGTAGGAGCAGAAGTTGAGGATCATTGTCTTAGAGCAGCTTTCAATATCATATAGATGCAGCTGGAGGAGGGAGACAGCACAGTTAGGAGGCCGTGTGGTGATGTCATCCGATTCTGCCCATTTCCCCGTGGTACACGACCACCAGTCAGTGATGTACTGAGTTGCCAGCCCCTGGAGTTGATGCTAAGTTGGTATCTCCTGACTCTGGTCAAGTATGAGATGACCAAACAAGCTAACACCTACATTCAAGGTGTGATTAGGTGAAGGTCGGACTTTGGTTCTTAGAGTAACCCTGGGCCAGATTAACAGGCAAGGCTCCCAAATAAAACTAAATGAGCCGACGGTCTGCAGTGTGGCTCTCACCGAAACGACCAATCACACGAGAGGCTGAACTCTGGTGAGGCCATATTGAGAAGAGAATACGGAGGTACAAGGAGGGACTTCTCAAGCCAGCCTCCACACCTTCAGCTAAGTGTGGCTGAGGCGCACTGGTGGAGTGGGACTGGGCAGAGGCCAGCCAGACCTGAGGAGGGGGCAGCAGCTTCACCAGGACAGACTGGTGCACAGTCAGAGGAACCACCCCTGGAAAGCCCTTCCTGACTCTGTCCCCATCAGAAGACAATCTCCTTCAGGGTACCTAGGACAGGCTGTGACAGGGTACAGACGATTCTCTGTCCCTTCTGCTATGCTGATGGCACATGGGACTTATGCCCCGCATGGCCCCCACAGTCCCTGGCAACAGTTTCTTTCATGCCCTTTGTGGACCAGCCCAGGCCTAAGGAAACCCCTCTCACACGAAGTTTGCGGTCCCTGAAGAGAAGCTTGTGTCCAGTCTCGTTAAGTTCCAGCCAATCCACACGGCTCTCGTGATTGATCGTACCAATGTTGTAGCCGCCAATCAGATCCACTGCACAGGAGACAGGAGGATTAGGGGGACCCCAGCCATGTCCAGGGCTGCAGCTGTCTGGAGAATGCTGGCCTTACAATCACGTTGGGCTTTAAGAACATTTTATCAGTCCAGGGGTACCAGTGGGGACTGCAAATGATAAATACTGCACAATATTTCTAGGATGCTTAAAAAACTGGGTTTCGCCAAGCATGGTGGTGCACGCCTTTAATCCCAGCACTCAGAAGGCAGAGGCAGGTGGATCTCTGTGAGTTCGAGGCCAGCCTGGTCTATAGAGAGAGTTCCAGGACAGCCAAGAACAGCTAAGGCTACACAGAGAAACCCTGTCAAGGAACTAGACATTGTCTAGAATTATAGACGGTTTACCTTGACTTTGTAGGCAACTAAAAGTTCTCATGGAGACATGGTGGTACATTGCAATAACCCCAGCCCTCAGAAATCAGAGGCCGAAAGAGGGAGCTGGCGGCCAGGCCCCTCTATGTCGGCCAGCTCCTGCTACCTAGTTTGACCCTGTCTTGAAAAAAACAAGTGAGAAAGGGTGAGTGTGTCACTGGGTACCAGAGAAAGCTGATAAATGAAGTGACCTTGGTGATGTCATACTGGCTCCAAGGGGTCCCCTGAGCAATGGAGGGCACAAGCCGAGACGGCACCAGCGGGTTCAGAGTGAACAGCAGAAGGGAGCCTCGAGGAAAGCCAGGCTCAGTGCAGCCGAGTGGCTCACGCCCAGAGTTCGAGCACAGTTCGGAAAGGCTGGGTCAGGAAGATGGCCCACCGGAGACCAGCCGGTACACAGGCTGGTAACTTGGAGACATGTTAATCATGATAGCAGGCATGGTGACGCCTATCTATAACCCCAGTACTCAAGGGTAAAGCCAATCTGGGCAACTTGGGACCCTGCTTCCAAACACCTAAAAAGAAAACAGGAACCAAAACCAATCCAGAGCAAGCCATGTTTGAGCTACAAGGATTCCTGGGAACACTGAAATGTATGCAAAATTTGATGTACATGCATTTTTTTTTCTGGAAAATGTCTATACTTTTCATTACAGTAAAAAGGACTGGTGACTCAGAAAATTGAAGAACTATGTCATTTTACATATACTGAAAATGACCCCTGAGGAGGGAATGGACTTGTCGGAAGTCTCACAGTTTATTTACCATGGCCACCGGAAGCTTAGGCCTCTTGGCCTACATATCATTCCCACTGCAGATACCTGCATTTCTGAGCTCAGCGTGAAATGTAATATTCATGAAACATGAAACTATCTTAAGAAGAGGCCCATATGTGTAGGAGAGCTTGGTTTATGACAGGATGGCCTAACAAATTAGTGGGCTTTCAGTGAACGGCTAAACAGATGGAGAAAACAAAGTTAAAAACCCTACCCACACCACACACAAAAATAAATTCCAGGTGGAAAGCAAAATTTAAGAATGTTAAAATACAGGAGGGAGGAAGGGAAAAAGTTGTTAGATGAGACCTCAAAAATCAGCAATTATTCTTACTATTATTTTGGTAGATCTGGTGATTGAACGCAGGCCTGCCATACAGTCTACCACCAAGCTCTACCCTAATTTTTTTTTTTTTTTGGTTTTTCGAGACAGGGTTTCTCTGTGTAGCTTTGCGCCTTTCCTGGAACTCACTTGGTAGCCCAGGCTGGCCTCGAACTCACAGAGATCCGCCTGGCTCTGCATCCCGAGTGCTGGGATTAAAGGCGTGCACCACCAATGCCCAGCTACCCTAATTTTTTTTAAACTAAAAATCTATTAGTTGCATTTTTATTTATTTGTTTTTATTTTGCAAGGAGCACATGTGGACGTCAGAAGACAACTTACAGGAGTCAGTTCCCTATTGAAGGAACTGACGTCAAGTCATCAGGCTTGGTGGCAAGTACCTTTAGATGCTAAGTCATCTCATTAGCCCCTAAATTAATTTTTAAAGCGCTTGCTGCAGGGCCTGAGTTTGATCCCTCAGAGCCACATGGTGGAAGGGAAGGACCCATTGCACCTCAGGTTGTCTTTTGACTCCCACTTGAGTACCATGGCATGCATGTCCCCAAACCAGTTCCATGACATAAATAAGTATAGTCCATTCTTTAAATGTCTCAATACTAAAGACACCTAAGAGAGAGAAAAGTCAAGCCACACAGACTGAGGGAAAAAAAATCTACAATGTAAGTACCCATCAGAGGCTACATACATACGTAAAAATTTTCCATCTTCAACAAAACACTTGGCTTTCACAATGCATATGGGATAAGAACAGGCAGGTCACAGAAGGAGAAATCCAAGTCATTAATAATAAATGCCATAGCATTTCACACACACCAGGCATTTCAGGTCCTGGAGAGGATGTGGAAGAAGAGGAATTCTAACTGGGAGAGGAACTGAGGTTGATGAACCTCTCTGGAGAGCCATGGGAAACACTTAGTGAGGTTGAGGACACAGCCCCTCTGTGATTCAGCAATTCTACCCTAAGCATAGACCTCAGCAAGCAGCATTGCTGTGATTAAAAAACAAAACAAACAACGAAAACCCCCAAACAACTAGGAGTTAGAGAGATGGCTCAGTGGTTAAAAGTACTGGCTGCTCTTCCAGAGGGCCCAGGTTCAATTCCCAGCACCCACATGGCAGCTCACACTCGTCTATAAGTCAAGGGATCCCAATGCCCTCTTTTAACCTCCAAAGGCATAAGGCATGTACATGGTGCACAGACATGCATGCAGGCAAAATATCCATACACATAAAATAGATAAACCTTAAAAAAAATTAACACTCAGCAGGGTGTGGTAGCACAAACCTTTTGTCCCAGCACTTGGGAAGCAGAGGGAAGTGGATCTCTGAGTTCAAAGGCAGCCTAGTCTACAGAGTGAGTTCCAGGACAGCCAGGGCTACATAGAGAAACCCTGTCTCGAAAAAATAAAACAAAACAACCAAAAAGAAAAAAAAAATTAACACTCTAAATGCCCATGAGTAAGAGATGAGGGAAAAGACTCAATGTAAATGCAACAATATGTTAGCATTCAACAGAACTAGGCATGGGTAATCACGGATTAACGATATGCCATGACGATCAGCAGCTCGTTTATTAAATGACTGTGTGGCAGGCAGGGGTCTAAGTGCTCCCCTCTGACGCAGGCGCTGTCTTCGCTCCCTCTCCGTGGGTGAAGAAACTAAGAAAGACTAACTTCGGTAAGCTCACACTGTAGCAAGTACAGCCTGGGTAGCTGGCGCCAGAGTCCCATTCACACAGCTATTCACACACCTGTGCACGCTCGTCTCTACACTTTCTGGAGGAAAGTATATGTATATGCACGCTCGTCTCTACACTTTCTGGAGGATGCTATGCTGTTCTCCATCCTTTCTTCCATGCTTGTAACATTTGGTGATACAAATTACAAAGTTAATATTTATAAATGAAACACTTATGAAGTGCAAATTAAGTTTCTATTGTGACTAGTTACTAATAATAAAGGACATAAACATAAAAAAAAAATAGAGCCCTCCCAGTTCTAAAGAGTCTATGATTTGATGGCATCTAAACAGGAAATTTCCTAAATTTGCTGTTAATTCTTCTCTACTGTTCACAACTTGCTGACCCTAAGATATATTACTAGAGAAGATGGAAATTAAATATACAGGCCTATCTGATAGGCCTGTGCATTTATATATCCATAGCTAGATACTTACACAACGGCATACCCACAGGGAATCAAATATTTCCTATAACGGCTGTAAAAATGAGGTTATGTGTTCACCTGGTACCTTTCAGACTCCTGGACTTGTCAGTGACTGTGATCCCATGATACCGAAGTGCAATACAGGTATCTGTTTCCATAGTAAAGTGATAAGAGCATCTTACCTATAGCAATAGTCTTAATATCAACAAGATAAGCCAATTTCTTATTATCTTCCATTCCTCGCTGGCACCTCTCGTTGATACGGACGCTGCGACAAGAACAAGGTGAGGTAAAATTGGCTCAGCCTGGGGTCTTCTTGATGGTTCTGAAGTACCACGTGGGATGACATTTTTAGACTGATCTGGGGGCACACAGTTCAGAAGCTCAAAAGGAATCCTTCTGGATTTCAAGGGTTCAGAGACCCCTGTGAGGTTACCTGATGAGGTGAGGGTTCATGAATTCAGTGCGTACAGAACCCAAGGAGTCATTACTCCCGTATTCTACCAGGGTCAGCTCGCCAGCATTGAAGATCATGCACACCTGGGGAGGAAGAGAAAGGAGGCGTGGAGAAAAATGGTGGAAGGGATGCTGTGGGTCAGGGCGGCTTCTCTCACCTCCGCCTGCTTGGTCCCCGCCCTTTGCCTGCAGCCTCCCCATCCCCTGCCGCTCACCCCTCTGACTAGGAGCTGGAATGGGCTCATGAAATGGTGCCGGGGAATCGAGCTCTACTCACATTCTCATTTTCAAAGAAGTATTTCTCATTGCCACCAGACCCCTGCCAGGCTATCTGCAGAGAGGAGAAAACGTCAGAGACAGTGTGGACAACGACCCAGGACAAGGCTGGAAGGATGTCAGTGGGGAGGAAGGGACGGCGTGCCCGGAGGCTTTGACATTACACAAAAGATGTGCTCATCAGATTCTTGCCCTGGTCCCCACAATTCTGAGAGATGGCGGCAAAACACAGTCTAACTACGGAAACTTATACGCCAGGATTCCACACCTCTCACTATTGAAACGAGGTCACCAGCATCAGAATGGTCTCCTTTGGGGATCCTACTTCTTGGGGCCCTGTGTCTCTAGAATTAGCAAGCCAAGGCATCCCATTACCCACCTCGCCATTCTCGGTTCCTACCTCGCTGAGGCGGTTAGTGTTCAAGTCTCCGAGCAGCAGCGTGTCTGACGTGTGAGCTACCAAGTACCGCTCCTTTCCCAGGATCTTCACCTCCTCCACCTCATAGCCGTAGTGGGACTTGAGCACCACCCTGGTCCCTGAAGATAGGTTCTTCACTATCACCTGGGAAGGGACAAGGCCGAGATTAGATTTTTCTTTCTTCTTCTTCCTCTTCTACTTCTGAATTTATTATTTATTTATTTATTAATTATTTACTTACTTACTTACTTACTTATTTATTTATTTATTTATTTATTTATTGAGACATGTAGCCCTGGTTGGCCTGGAACTTGCTATGTAGTCCAGGCTGGCCTCAAACCCACTGGCCACATGCCAGGCCACAATATCTTTTTTTCTTTCTTTCTTTCTTTCTTTCTTTCTTTCTTTCTTTCTTTCTTTCTTTCTTTCTTTCTTTCTTTCTTTCTAAGATTTTTAATTATGTGTGTACAAAGGTGAGTGCAGAGAGGGTGTTGGATCCCCTAGGGCTGAAGTTACAAGTGATTGTTGTGAACCACTTAACATGGGTGCTGGGGACTGAACTCACGTCCTCTGCAAGAACAGTAAGAGCCACATCTCTGGCCCTGGTACAGTGTCTTCCAGATAAATCACCTTTGCATTCTCAGTCCTTAGCAGCACTAACAACAGCAGGGAAAGGATAAATGTTTCTGGAGAGAATGGAAAAGTAAAGGAACAAACCAATAATAAATGCAGGGAAGGACACAGGGAGAGTGAAAGTGTGTCTCTAAGACGAGAGTCCTGAGCTTTATGGCAGCTCGTGATCCTGTTCATCGACTCCTCTAGTGGGCAGCGCTGGGGAGACTGCTTTACACCAGGAAGATAAAGGTGCCAGTCCCTGCACTCTTGAGCCTGGTGCTTAAGCCTTTCCTTACAACAGGCCAGAACAGCTCTACAGCAGGGGAGTTGCCAGGAAGTCGCCCTGACACATTCTGTCCCCATGCCATCTCTGCCAGAACGATGAAGGTTAAATGTGACTGTGGCTGTGGCCAGCAGGTGGGGAAATGTCGCGAGGACAGATGAGCCATGGGCGATCTCAGCCCTGGGCGATCTCAGCATGATGGGCCATCGGCTGCTCACCTGGCTGGGTCCCACATACGTCAGCTCGAACTTGTTCTTGTAAATGCTCCTTCGCAGGCAACAGTCAAACTGCTCCACCCCGCCACAGAGTGTGCCCTGAGAGAGGAAGGGACAGCGTGGAAGGCTACGCATGGGTGTGCTGGCACGGGACAGTGTCTAGATACACCCTCAGGACCTCAGTCCTCAGGGACGGTGTCTAGATACACCCACAGGACCTCAGTCCTCGGGGACGGTGTCTAGATACACCCACAGGACCTCAGTCCTCGGGGACGGTGTCTAGATACACCCTCAGGACCTCAGTCCTCGGGGTCACTGTCTAGAGACGAGCGGCCAGCACCAGAGTGGCCAGGCTGTGGACCTATCCGAAGAGGACTTACAGGCATCGCATGTGGATTGGATAATGAGGGAGAAATCAGGGTCCCCTGGACAAGTGTGCCCCTTGGGGTCTCCAGGAAAGTGTAAGTTTCCCTTTCCTGCCTTTAACAGCAGATTTTTGGGCTGAAGTCACAAGGCAGCTGGAGCATCTCTGGTGTCACAGTGGTGCTTTGGCACAGGGAGCATTTTTGTCTAGTGTGGAGACAATCACCAATACAGAAAGGAGCAAGAATAACTCACCGCACAGAGTCGTGAGCCGTCCCGTTTCCAGGCCAAGGCAGTGACGGTGTATAAGTTGGCAATCTCCTTGGGCTTGGCCTCTTCCCAGATGCTTCTTCGAGGACTCCAGTTGAACACCCGGAGTCTGGAAAGGTAAAGAGTGAAAATGAGCTAGTAATGAAAGGGAACCATCTCACTCCGTAAGAAAGGAAAACAGACGCAAAAGAAGGGGTCGGCAAGGCAGCCCAGCAGGGAGGGTAAAAAACGGTGCAGAGGGAGCTGAGGAAGTCAGGGCAAAGGGAGACAGGGCATGAAGATGGGGGCAGGGCTGGAGAGCTGGCTCAGAGCTTAAGAGCACTGGCTGTTCTTGCAGAGGTCCTGAGTTCAATTCCCAGCAACCACCTAATGGTTTACAACCATCTGTAATGAAATCTGGTGCCCTCTTCTGGCCTGTAGGCATACATGCAGGCAAGAACACTGTATGCATAATAAATAAATTAATTAATTAAAAAAAAAAAAAAGATGGGTGCCAGGTGTGGTGGGGCACACCTGTAAACTTGGGAGGCAGAGGCAGGAGCATCACTGCAAATTTGAGGCCAGCCTGGTCTACCGAGTGAGTTCCAGGCTAGACGGGCCACAGAATGAGACCCCGTCTCAAAAATCAAAGACAACACCAAAGGCCGGAAGAAGAGAAGGCAGGACAGCAGGACAGGGGAGACAAACAGACTGCCAGGAAAGGGAAGAGGGAAAAACGAAGGGTAGCAGCTGAAGGAGAGAGGCACGTAAGGAGACACACGGGACTGAAAGGCCATAAAGACAGACAGACAGACAGAGAAGAGGGGACCTGACCCCAGCTGCTTAGCTGGTGTTTCGTTCTTTATTCATTCACCAAACAGTGGCTAACACGTCACATGCCAGAGGCCAACACAGGCACCCGAGAGAAAAAGATGGCTACGCAGAGTTCTTCCCAAGAACCCCTCAAAACAGAAGCAACACCTATGACACAGCGGGGTGAACTCCAGTCTGAAGTGGGGACGCGGGGGACGTGATGGATTCTGCTGTGGAGTCCCAGGCTGCAGCAGCACAGTGCATTCTGAAGCCGCCAGCATGCCAGCGGACGACAAGCTGAGAGTCCCTTTCAACAGACGTGGCTCCTGTCCACGCTCCTGCTGTAGTTCAGGACAACTCGGCCAGCACTGAGAGTCCGCAGAGAAAGACGGCACAGCTGGCCGGGGGACCTACCTGTCATAACTGCCCAGCACGACAGACTGGCCTCCAGGACTTGCTGCGGCTGTGGTGAATTCCCGCTCCTGAGGGTCACGGCTGTAGTCGAAAGTCTGCAGCACGTGGCCTTCCTTCCCGTAGGCCACGATCCTCCGATCACAGCCCGCAGCCACGATGCTGTTGGTTGCCCAGGCCAAGGCATAGGGTGGGCATGGATGGCTAACCAGCTTCCCCTGAGACAGAACGTTTCAATTGTACTTGGTGGATGCCACCCTAGAAATGCCTCAGCTTGGCAGCTGATCCACACACTCTTGACCATCCCACCCTGCAGAGAAAAAAAAAAATCTTCCTGCCAACATTTCCCCACACCGACCAACACACGCTAATTCTGAAGACTTCACAAATTATCCTTCAGGTCATGAGCACACAAGTGCCATATGTATATACTTGTTGGCCTTGTACTCACAGTGGTGTGAGTGTTGGAGATCTCTGGTATGTACTGGTAAAGCCACCCAAAGGGAGACCACACACAGTAGCCTACACTGTCTAGGCCCAAGAGAGCACATGGCTTCAAGGAGGGCTAAATGTAATTAGCTACACAGTTAACTCACAATGTAAACGATTCAATAGTACTGAGTTATACAGAGCAAAACATCCACACTTCTCTTTATGTCTATCTTTTCTTTTCCCAAGAAAATAGTTACCTCCTTCATATTTTATTGATTTGTATGTGTTTGTGTGTGTGCATCTGCATGTGTGTGCACATCTGTGCTTGTGTGCACGGGGTTGGAGGGCACAGGATAACTTGCAGAAGTCACATCTGTCCTTGCACTGCGTGGGTCCTGACAGGTTTGGCATGGGGCACCTTTACCTGCTGAGCTAGCTCGCTGGCCTGTTAACTTCTTTCCTCCATGCACTCGGATGTATGTGTGTTACGTAAACACACATATATATATATATATATACACACACACATTTGTGTATATGTATCTATTTACATGAGTGGAAATCATTTTCACTTTTTGTCCCCCTCAGTCTTTCTCCCCCCTCTCTCAAGGTCCCTTCCACCTACTCCTCCCTATAAATAGTGAGCTCTAGCCTCCTGAACGCAGATCTCTGTGGCGGCACCCAAATGCTTCTCCCCAAGATCGCACTCTCCCAGCCTCCTCCCCCAATACCTCAGCCTCCCCCCGACCCCGGTGTGTGTGGGGGTACGGGACCCTGGAATGTCCACCCCACCCCAGAGTATGCGTGGTGCATACCTGTGACTCTCCAGAGCCTTCATCATCGAAGAAATACCTGACGATGGTGCCGTCTGCGTGGCCCGAGAGGATCCCTTTCCCAGAGCAACTGAAGGGCAAAGGCGGAGAGGTGGACACAGAGGGAGAGACACACACACACACACACACACACACACACACACACACACACACACACACACCGTGAAAGTCCCCTTTCTGTCAAATGCAGCTTTTCCCCGACATTTCCCAGTCTTATTTTTTTCCACTCACTTGGTTGTCAATGCCACCACGTAAGAGTCTGTCCCGTAGATGGTAGAAGACTTGTTAGTTTTAGTGTTTGCTAAGCGAACCTGAAACATCAAGAATATGCAGAAGTCTGGCTAGGCTACTTTCAGTTTCGCCCGGGCACTGAGATGAAGGCCACACTTGAGCTCCAGGGGAAAAGAGGAGCCATATTCTCCCCCACCTCCCCAGGACCATTGTCCCCACCTCACACCTACTCTGGGGTTCCTTCCCCTCCTTTACCTTGCCTTCGGCCAGTCCAAAGACAATAATGTACTCCGCAGGCCACTGCAGACAAGTGACGGCGCTCTATAGGAGAAAGGACGAAAGGTAACCCCGCCTATGTGGATTCGCACACGCACAACAACCCGACACCCACCACACACCGCCACCCCAGTCTTCTCCAGGGGGCGCAGGCCAGGAGGGGACACGACAAGGCTCCTCCGTAGGTGACAATGAGCAGCCAGTCCACACCAGCCTTCGGCAGGTCAAATCAGGGCTGGACACTGGCAGACGCAAGCCCGGTGACATTTGCAAGCAGATAAGCAGGTGTTTGCGCATCGGCGAACTTTACCGTCTGGATGAACTTGTTGCAGATCACCTTCTTGTCACCCCTGTAAACAAAGACGAGGACGCATACTTGAAAACCACGTCCGCAGATAAACTGCCCGACGTGATGGGGATGAAAGGCGGCAAGACCGGAAACCCTTCCTGGCCGACTAGCGCTTCCTGTCCCTCTGTGGGAGGTCTGATGGAGATGTGAGTGGGTGCCCAAGAAGCCCTGGGGCTACATCAAAGACACAGCGTTGCACTGGCTCTGGGGACCTTCCGCTGGCCTTACACTCGTCCCTCCCGAGGCGGGAATGCAGGACACACGGGCAGGCACAGGATGGCCACCACAGCATCAGGCTCCAGGGCGTTCCTGCTTTTCACGCCTGGCCCCATCCCTGTCCCAGCACAGCATTTCTCATGCCCACCTCTTCTTCTGGGGGCCACACGCCACCTCCCACCCATCCTCACCAATCTTCTCCAATCTTGTAGACGTAGATGATGTTGTCAGTCTGTCCTATGGCAATTTTAGTGGAATCCGGAGAGAAAGCCATGCCTTTTACCATGTAGCTCTTCCTGCCGTACTAGGGGTAAAAACAAAAATAATGAGTATAAATGAAAGACAAACAAACAAACAAACAAACACATGCCTGTGCCAAAAGACCAGGAGGCTTATACTGAGGAAAAGCGTAGACCATTTCCCATGTCTACGGCTAGAAGGCAGATTACCAAGTTTCCTAGGATAACATGTTAGAGCACACATGAGTTCACTCTACCTTCATGTCGGCTGGCTTCGTGGAGAACTTGTCTCTCCGCTCCCCATGTTCATCATACAGCAGTACCACGCGGTCCACCGTGCAGACAGCAAATTTAGCATTGTTCTGGGACCAGGCCATACACGTCACCTTCGCAGCTCCATCCTGCAGAGGCAAAGGAGCAGGGTAGACAGTGCTGGTATCTCCAGGCTCTTCAGTCTTAGCGTGGCTTTGCTCTACATCTACCGTCACAGTGCTTCTCTCAAAACTAAACAAAATCCGACAAAGTGCTTGGACACTTGAACTGTAAGAACAGTAGTTTCCAGAGCCTCGTGTGGCCTGGACTGGCTTCAAATTCACTCTACGGCATGGATGACTTGAACTTCTGATTCTCCTGTCTCTACCTCCTGAGTGCTAGGATTCAACGCATGCACCATCACGTCTAGTTTATGCCATGCTGGGGGGACAGGACCCAGGGTTTCATTCAAGGCAAACAAACACAGTCCCTACCAAGGCCTCTCCTCAGCCCCTAATGTGCGTTGAGACTCATGGTATAAATAATGCATCAACTGTTCCAAAAGCAATGGCCTGCTTGTTCCCTCATCCTTCAGGGCTGCTACTGGAAAAAAAAATCAATTATTCTGATAAAGCTTAGTCTTTATAGCTACTCATTCAATTAACGTTTTCAAGCACTTTACTCAGAAAGGCACTTGGCCAGGAGCTGACAGAGAGACAAAGACGAAGCACAGATCCAGCCCCAGGACCTAATTGGATGCTACAAAATTGGAAATGCCCCATAAGAATAATATGTCCTGAGTGCAGGAATAATTTAGAGAAGCTCGGGACAATTTTATGCTTAAATGGTCAAAATTAAACTTTGAAGAATGGATGCCAGTGAATGGTAAATTACTTCAGATATAATGAGTAGCATGAACGGAGTCAAGCTCTGGCCGAGGACCAGCAATTTAAGGAAGCTGAGGCTTTGCAGACGAGAGAGGAGGTAGGGCAGGAAGCAGAGACTGGGCTAGCTCAGGAAGGGTCTTTGGAGGCGAGCTAATGATCTGGATTTACTGGGCAGGAGTAGGAGAGACAGCGGACGTGTGGAAACAAGGAGTAACGTAATTAGAAGACTCGGGATAGACAATGTCACTGCCCCCTGCTAACTGCCCGCTCTATCAAAGTCTCGAGTTAAAAGTGACCACTGTACAAGCTGAGATACGGCCCAGTCGATGGAGTGTTTGCCTTGCACTCAGAGTCCCCAAGTTTGATCCTTGGCACCTCAGAAGAGTAAGTTAAGAAATGAAAGGAAGCCGGGCGGTGGTGGCGCACGCCTTTAATCCCAGCACTCGGGAGGCAGAGCCAGGCGGATCTCTGTGAGT